AAAAAAAAAAAAAAAAAGAAACAAGTTGTTGTAAAATGACACAGTCATCTAGAATTGGGTATTAAACCGAATTTTTCTTCCTTGTTTTTTTTAAAAATATATTTTCAACTACACTGTTGCATTCTTTCATCTGAATTAACTGTTGGATACTGTGCGCTACCAAAGGAATCAAATTTTAACAATAATTTTCTTTAAAAAAAACTTCATAATATAAAGAAAAATACAGGTTATTAATTTTTCTTAATTCTTCTTATTGAACTGTAGCATATTCTAAAGCCTAAACCCATTGCATTTGCAGAAGCTTTTTAAAAAAGTGATTGCAACAAGTACTGTACTAAAACTTTTATTATGTCTGTAGCTTACAATTATAATCTTCTTTTTCTGTCTAATCTTACATACTTTTTACACAAAAAAAAAACTTATTTTTACTTTTAATGATTATTGTTTTACTGACTTAAAAAGACTACACTAAGAATACGACTTTGCCGCTGTCCACAACGATTACAGAGTATAGGAGACTCTTTACATCACCATATCATAGAATTTTAACTAAATTTTTTTTTTTTGGTTTTAACGGATACTTGTAGTCATTCTGTACTAAACAAAGTCTGCAGATAATTACAGTTGAGCAATTAACTGTTATACTAAATTTCCACTTATTCAGCGCAACAAAGGTGAGAAATTTTGATTATTAACTACATATCACTTGGTTAGACCTGTAAGATAAAACTATTCAGGCTAAGATTAGTGTAGTAAACAAAAATTTAAAGTTGGAAAATGCAGTTGGTCTTTACTGTTAACATTTTTACCGGTTTTCAACTTCTAGAAGCTTACTTATTCTGTTTAAATAAATACGATGGTCAGTTTTGTATTCATTATCGTTTATATTAATTTGGTCTTTGCTTTCTTATCTATTGTAGTACTCGCGTACCATAGTTGTCCTTAGCAGTTTTAGCACTTCTTTAATAGGCAATGAAGATTAACAAAGTACTTAAAGGTGTTCACATTTTTTATTACTAAAACTTAACATCAGGAGTGAAAATTAGAGTAGATGGTAAAGGTAAAATACAGTCTATCAAAGTTATCTTAAACAGGATTACAGTCACTGGTTGGTGCTGTAGATCTCAAAGGCTAATTGGGACTACAAGAAGAAACAAATTTTCTAGAGTTTTCAAGAGGCACTGTAGGAGGAAAGCTTTTAGTCGTTCTTCAGTTAGGAGAGCGGTTAGCCGCGACAGCTGCTGCAAAAAAACGCCTTTAAAAGCATAAAACTGCACTCAAACAAGTATTCTAAGCATTCTTGATTTATAATGTGCTTTAATCTATTCATTCACTTATGATGTCGAGTTTCTGGTAATGACAAATTTGTACGCCATAAACACGTTAATACACCAGCTAACCTTGCACTTTGTGAGGCATTTTTACTCGTCTGACAACAATTAAGTCACCTTCAAATAAATATCCAATTTGGCCTGTACGATGTCAACAACTGAAGCTTGCATTCTTAGCAACCATCAACTAAGCCACCTTTCGTTGCTTTTTCTTTAAAGATATTAGAACAGCTAGAGACGGTAAAGCCAAGTGTTTTTGTTTTCTACAAATCAACTTCAAAAGACCAATTTCAATTAATGATACTCGAATTTTGAACGATCACAAAGCTAATTTGATCGTACTATTCATCGTCGCAATTTTTTAAGACGCGTACTTGTTTAAAGGTTTGAATAATTTCTTTGCAGTAGACTAATGTCAACAATATTTGGGAAAAGATCATTTGAGTGAAATTTTATAGCACCGGTAAAGCCGGTAAAGCCATTATTGACAGCTAACTCGATTCTGTCTTATGTGGCAAGTGTTGACCGTGAACTATACCCTTTATTAAGCAATAATCATCGGACAACTATTGGTAGTAATCCAAAATAAAAAATAAAATTTAAACCTTATTTTAGATTTTATTTATATAAAATTAAAGCAAAAGGCTGGAGAGCAAAGACTTCTCATTATCGGCACTCAGCAAATGTTCAGTTTGAGTACGCCCATAGCCACTTTTACACCATCTTTAATACAACGAAAAAAGACCACACAAGATACAATATCTACAGCAATTACATCAAATAAATATAAGTCTAAATAAAACTTTTAAAGATAACAACATACAAACAAGTAGACATTGAGCAATTACCGAAGCCAGCAACAGATTGAAAAAATTAAGACAGTAAAACCATAAAAAATTGCTTTTCCCTAGAAAGTATTGTTTTTGAAAAAAACTGCGAGAAAATACGCCAGAAGTATCTTCAAGATTTTAAAGTCTTGTTTTAGATTCATTTTTACAAGTAAAATAGTTAGACTAGATTTGCGAAGATATTTATGCACTGAAAACGTAAAAAAAGTGGCGGAGCTACATCATGGCATCGAACATGGGCTGACACTAAAGAATCTTTGCTGTCGAACAGGGTCACAAAGGGACCTATGGTTTTTAAAGCATTTTTAGCATCTATTGCCGATACATTAACGTATCCAAAGTTCCAAAGAATTGATCTTGAACAGTTGAAATTGGATGAAGCATCATCATAACACCAACGAATATAGCTCTGTAAAATCCAAACACTATGTCCAAAAAACCTGACAACAAACAGACGAATCTGCGTGTTTAGAAGACAGTGACTATAAATTTCTACTAAATTCTTTAGGGTACCAATCACCGAGTTTGACAAACATCTTCAAAATGCTTCAAATACTTTGAATGGAAAAAAATTGTTGTTGATCAGATAAAACTTACTTTGATCATCTGTAAAATGCTGTTTACACTGAAAGGACATTGTACATTGTTTAATGCAATAAATATCGGCCATTTTTCTGTTTTTGCCCACGTGAGTAAAGTTTTGCTTGTGAGTGCTGGAAACCTACAAAAGGAAAAAAACTTCTTTACTGAGTAGCTAAATGTATCAAAATAATCATAGTTTTTTTTTGAGTCAATTAAATGATTGATTGTTTTAAATATCTATTCAAAATTGTGCACCTAAACTAAAG